TGGACGGTGGTGGTGGTGGCGGTGGATGGTGGCGGTGGTGGTGGACGACGATGGTGATGGACGGTGACGGTGATGGTGGACGGTGGCGGTGAACGGTTGTGGTGGTGAAGAGAAGTAGAAAAAAAAGGAGAAGATGTTAGAAGATGTTAGAAGACATTGGTTAATGTCTTCTCCAAGAAGATGCTAGGAAGACCTTTTTGAGTGAAATGTCTTCCAAAAAACAAACAATCTGCAGAGCCCATCATCTGCGCGCGTCTGCGCGGCGCAGACAAAAGACGCCAGAAGGTCTTCTGGCGGAAAAACAAACACCCCCTAAGTGATATGGATGTAGTAAAGTGGCAGCGACTGTGGTTGGTGGTGGTATGCATACCATGGGAATTGTTGCCAATGGAGTTCATTGGAGACGATGATCAGAAGTGAAACTCATGGATGTTTTTAAAATTGGAAAATTTTGAAACAATCTTTTGAGCATCTCAAACTCATTTTTTTTTAAAGTTTGGAAACAATATTTTCTATTTTCTGTATTCTCAGTCCATTGCTAAGGGAGCTAAAAGAGTCATCATTCACAATGTTTTAGTTGTGGGCACATTATGGACTAAATAAAAAAGGCACAATAAGAATCCCTTGCTTCTTACTCTCTATCACTCTATGAATTTTTGGGCAGTAAATAAAAATGCATCTATGGTCTAACAAAAATAGGCTCTCTGTTTTTATAGGGGTAAGACTGCATACATCTTTAGTATCTCAATGGAGTTGGGATTATATTGGATTGTTGTTGTATTCTCAGGTCACTTTTAAAATCTAGTCTATATTTGAATATCTCATAAAATTGGAGAGTTAGTAGCTCATAAGTTTTATTAAAATTATATGTCTTACTTTATAGGATTAAGGAGGTGAAGTGTCCAGATCAGCTAGCTCAAAAGCATATACCTCTTTCTTGTTGTGTTCAGCTTTGGATAGCAAAGCATGCGATAACATTACTTGCTGCTGGTGCATTGGTACTCAATAATAAAATGCAGCTTTTGAAAGGTTGTGATACCAACACATTCAAGCTTTGTTGATGTAATTGAGATTTTCAGCTTGTTGGGTGCTCTGTGATATTGTTGAAGGTCAGGCGGAGGCACTACTTATCAGTCCGAGCAGAAGAACTCTATAATAAGGTGAGAGTGTCCTTTGAATTTTCAATTGCAGAGCTTGTTATGGTGCTTCTAGCTTTTACTTCCACCCAACTATGTTTCGCGGCACCAATACCAATCTAGCATCAATTATTCAATAAACTTGTGCTGCTTAAAGATTGAATCTACAATTTTTACTTCATGTATGATGCTTGCGTAGGAGACTCGGAGTACCAGTGGGGGAGGGAGGTCATAATGAAATTAATATACATGAAATAATACATTAAGTAATAATTTGCCTAATTTAAGAATCTTTAATAGGTTTGTGATGTAGTTGAAGATAAGGCACTGGCTGCAAGGAGTACAAACAATGAGTGTGAACCATGGGTGATGGCTTCATGGCTACGAGATTATCTTCTTTCACCCAAGGAAAGGAAGGACCCGTTGTTGTGGAAAAAGGTATTTTAAATACTCTGTATATTATTAAAAGAGGGATACTATATCCTAGCAGAGTAGCAGATATTACTCAAGGCATGCGTTCTGTCATTTCTTTTCACTCAACTTTCGGTGTCTACAACTTCTGCAGACAAAGGTTATGATAGAGATAAAATTAATTTGTTAAATGTTGTAAACAACATTTACTGGTAATATTAAAAATGTCTATTCTTATATCAGCCCCTATTCAGCCTGTGCTAACCCTACTCATAAAAACCTGTATGTTTTAATCCCTTAAGGGTTTGCATTTGCTTTATCGAACTTCCTCTGCGCATCAAGGTTTCCTATTTGTGTAGTTCATAAAATTTTCTTAGAGTTTATATGAAGGAATGCTTAAGATATTTAGGGGTATGAAATTCTGTTACAATCGCACGTTCTATTTCAGTCTTTCTCTTTATCTGTTAGGCTGTAAGGGTTATACTGCCTTTACGTTACAGCTTACAAGCCAGGAATAAAACTAAATCTACAGGTTGAGGAGTTGGTTCGTGAAGATTCACGATTAGAACAGTACCCTAAGGTGGTGAAGGGTGAATCTAAGGTTGTCTGGGAATGGCAAGGTACATATCACATCTTGTGTTTGTTTCAATGAGACTACTAAATTTCTGAATTTTTCAGGGTAAGTTGAAAGCTTAAAGTATGGCACAAAACTTTTTCCAGGCAATAATTGATGTACTGGGTGCATGCATAGTTGTCACGGCGTCGCCTAGGCGTCTTGGCACCCTTCTACTCTCGCCATGGGAGCTTGCCTCGCCTGATTTTGCATACCTCGCCTTGGCCTCACCCCGCCTAGGGGTCAGCGTCGCCTTGGCCTCGCCTTGCCTAGACCTCGCTTTGAACGTCGCCTAAACCTTGCCTTGGGCTTGCCTAGGCGTCGCCTTGGCCTCGCCTAGGCTCACTTAGTCCAGTGCTTTACGCTAGTGCTTTATGTTTTTAAGTGTTTTATACCCCTGACCCCAGTGCTTTGTTTTTTAGTGCTTTATAAATTAGTTTATTTTCAATTTAATGTTTTTTTTACTTTATCTTCTTAATTAATACTCACTGCATAATTTTTTTAAATGTTAAATGACTAATTTGTTTCCAATTTAAGTCGGCAATGCTTTCTTTTCAACTTTGGTTTTTTAGGAAAGTACCTAAACGTAACTTTGGTTATTAAACACTATTGTATTTGAAAAATTTCAACTTTATCAACTACAATATATAATGTGATATATTTATATTAGTGTTTTTAATGTATAGCAATTCTCTTATATTATGTGTCTCCTAATTGTCGCCTAGGTGGCCGACTAGGCGTCCTGGCACCGTGACAACTATGGTTGCATGAGTGAAACCTTTTACTGTTTTGCCGAATGTTTTGACATGCTTACTTTATCTTGTCATTTCCTTTTTTTGGGGGGGGGGGTGCGTTCCGTTCACTTGATCTGATCTGATTTTTTGAAGTTCTGATCAATCTGATTGGATTTGATCTGATATAAATTTGATTTAAATTAAAATTAAAATTATTATTATAATAGTTATAGTAATAGTAATAATAATAATAGAAATGTTAATAATAGTAATAATAATACTAGAAATACTAATAATAATAGTAGAAGTAGTAATAATAATAGTAATAGTAATAATAATGGTAATAGTAATAAGAATAGTAATAATAATAATAACTATAATAATAATAATACTAATAATAATAGTAATAGTAATGGAAAATAATAATAATAATAATAATAATAATAATAATAGAGATATTAATAATGATAATAGTAACAGCAACAATAATAATCATAATAATAATAGTAATAATAATAATAGTATTAATAGTAATAGTAATAATAATAGTAATAATTATAATAACAATAGTAATAATAATTATAGTCATAATAATAATAGTAATAATAATAATAATTTTGTTAAATTTGATTTGATTGGACCTGATTTGATCTGGTCTGGTCTGATCTTAATCAGAATTAGTAATGAGTAGAAAAAATAAGTTGAATGGAATGCTACCTTAGCCACTGGTTATTAATTTATATTAACAAAAGATTACTCAAGTTCTGTGGGTAAATGATTTTACTTGTACAAATGCATAATCAGCTTGTTCTCTGTATTTCTAGTTGAGGGCTCTCTAAGCTCATCAGGGAAGAAAAAAACACTCAATGGGGAAAGGCCAGAGTTAAGTAAACAAATGGACTTATCTTCTCAACAGAAAGGCTGGGTATCAAAGGTATCTGCTGCTTTTACATAGCTGAGGTGGTTTTATAGAGGCGGGTGAACATCTGTGTATGCCCACAGATCATTGTAACCTCTTACGCTAGGAAACATGTAATCCCTATTAGACTAGTCCGGGAACACGTAATCAAACTCTTATTAAATTTGACCTTTACAGAGTTTAAATGTGATATATTTTTTCCGTCCCACTATTTTTTTCTTTTTCTTTTATGTTTTTTGTACGTCCCACAATTGTTTATGATAAATCCTACTATTTTTGTCTCATACCATGCTTAGTAAGATTTGCGTGGTTACATTCATTCTGACCTCTTCTTACTTCTTAGCATCAATATGAACCACAGAATTTAATTTTTCTTAATTTGCGTGTCATTACCCCATGTCTCAAAAGTGGTGGAACCGAGGGACTGAGGGAGTATTAACTATGACCCTTGCTGCTACGAAGGAAGAATGTAGTGCCCACAAACAGGTCTAGATGCCAGGGCACTTACAATCCGCCATGATATATAGTTATAAACATTTCCTAACCGTATGTTGACCACCTAAACCACTATCCCACGTGGTTGAAATCCAAGCATAAATATCAGCAGAGAGTGTTATAGAGTTCAAACCCATCAACATATTTTTACACATCCTTGGAGAAACATAACCACATGCTAGGGAATATGTCATTTGGAGGTATGATCTCA